CAGCCCATCTGTAAGCTCTGGGTATTACGGGCAGACAGCGTGTTTTTCCGTTGCGTTGGATTTTTCGATGGAGCATACCTTTTCTCAACTCATAAGTTTTTAGTAAATATTCCTCTAATTCGTCGTTACGTAGCTTTTCGATTATTTCAGAAACTTCTGGATCGCGCTGTTGTTCGGCGAGTAGCCAGTTGTCGGAGACCTCGGTTAAATTTATGCGCTTCTCGACTACCTTTTCTAATTGGGAGTCTTTTTGGACGGGTAGAGGATTCCGAGACAGAAAATCAGCATGAGCCATTCTCTCCCCTTTCCTATATTCAATGCGAAACTGAAAAGCCTGCAAGTACCCCCACCACCGGTGTACCCTCGGCGTCAATGTGGTCTTGGAACGACTTGCCCTTAATGAATCGCAATCCGTAAAAATCACAAATTCGAGACCCTGCAAATAATGCCTGAAATGTTTAACGGCGTTCACCACTGCGAGAGTTTCTAACTCGTAAGAATGGTATTTGGACTCGACTGGAGTTGTGCATTTACTAAAATATTCGAATACATACGGCTTTTTATCTATTCGGTGCATCAAAATGGCACCATAACCAACCATACTTGCATCTGTATGCAACTCGACAGGGTGTTTGGGATCGAAGATGGTCAGTACTGGAGAACTTGTCAAAATTTCTATTATTTTCTGTCTCAGTTGTTCATTTTCGTCTTTCCATGTAAGTTCCTTGCATTTTTGAGAAGTTAGTAGAAATAATGGTTTTAATAACTCTGAAAATTTTGGCACAAAAAGCCGGAAGTAGGAAGCCAATCCTATGAATTGTCTTAACTGAGGTACCGTCTGAGGAGGTGGTAGTTCCACAAGTGCTTTTATTTTGCGACCATTTGGTCGTATTTCTCCCGCACTAACTTCATACCCTAGGTAATTTATTTTCTGTGTGAGGAATGTACACTTGTTTATGTTAAATGAGAAACCGGCTTCCATTAAAATTTTAAGGACTTCATCTAATCTTTCCATTGCCTGAACTTTCGTTTCTGCAACTATCAAAACGTCGTCAATATAAGCAATAACATAGGTATGGGCTTATGGTCCCAAAGCATTAATTATTGCACGTTGAAACACCGATGGAGCGTTCTTTAACCAAAATGGCATGGCGAGAAATTCATTCTGCCCCTCGGGCGTTACAAATGCCGTACGTTCGACCGAGTCCGGGTGAACTGGAATTTGATAAAAGCCACTAGCCATATCTTAGCAAGAAAAGAAACTAGCTCCCCTCATACGGGCTATTTGGTCAGCTATAAGTGGTAACGGGTATTTATCTGCCACCGTATTTGTGTTTAGTTTCCTGTAGTCTACGCATAAACGATCTGAACCGTTCTTCTTCTTGACCAGCATCATCGGACTAGCAAAAGGGGAACTACTAGGACGTATAACTTTTTGCAGACAATAATTCGTTAATCATTTCCCTAACATTAGCCTTTTCTTCTTCACTAAGTCTATATGGGCGACGCTGAACAGTCTTATGTGGATCAATGGGCCGTATGCTGAGCAGCCCTGTTGTTACTCGTGTGTTTGGAATGCCCACTATAAATGATTTGGAATATTTTTCTAATATTTCACCTAATTTTTCTTTATCAAACTCACTTAAGTCTTTATTAAAATTAAAACGATTTTTCAGATTTAATTCATACGACAGTGCTTGTACCATTTAAGGCTTATAAATAACAAATTTATTTGCTTCAATTACGACTCCGAAGCCTTGACTTAAAATATCTCTTCCAATAAGAATACCAAAATTTATAAAAGTATCCATAATAACGTGAAACAATATTTCAAGAAAATGTTCGTTTATATTAACATTACAAATTATCTGTACTGTGCTCCACACCGGTTCGTTTCCGATGCCCTTTAAAACCACTGTGCTAGTCTGACGCTTAACTTCGCTGCTACACTTTCCTTTACAAGAGAACATTCAGCGCCTGAATCAAAACAAAATGGAATAGACTCACCAAATTGTTTCAAAACTCCCTTTGGTTCTATGGCCACCAAGTTTACTCTTTTGTTAATCTCGACTTCCTTGAGATTATGTCGATTACGTGGGCATTCCGAAGCATAGTGCCCGAACTCCCCACATTTGAAGCAGGTCCTGTTGTTGACTGCGCGTTGTTGTTGTCCTGGAGTTGAGGTGGTCCGGTGTCTCTCGTCCGTTCGCCTTTTTTGACAATCCGCAATCTCATGGCCAAGACGCCCACAGTGATGACACTTCACTAGAGATGGTAGTTTCATTTTCTTCCTTTCGACTTCGTTTCCAAAGGATTCGTTGCGTTTTAAATACGCATACGCCTTTAATTGTTGCTGCAGATCGTTGCGGGTTTTAACAGCGCCCGTAAACATTGACTTTAAAAGGCCAGCATGAAAGATGCGTCAAAACGATGGATACAAAGAGCTCTTCCAGTTCGATTGATTTGAAGTTTGACATAAGCGACGTCACCAGGCGGCTTCCGTATTCGGGTAAAATCTCTCCTGGATTTGGACGCCCATTAAAGATGTTCATCAACGTCGCTGCCGGGGTCTCGATACCAACGAATCGTTGCACAAACAATTCCTGGAATTGCGGCCATGTCATGCCGCTGAAACAAATTTGCGCCAACCACTGGGAAGCACTTCCTTGCATAGCTTTGCTGAGTGCCATGGCAAGAGCACTGCCTTGTCGATTGTTTTCAGCAAATATTAATGCAACTGTATTACACCACGCACTTGCATCCGCGCCCGCACTATCAGGGTCGAATTCGGTTTAACTTCCGTTAATGGCACTCGCGGTGCGTTCATTGATTTCACAAGTTCCAACAAGGCACGATTTTGAGCTTCTAATGCAGCTATAACACTTTCATTGGAGTATTTTCATGGTCTGCCATTTCGATTGCGCAGTAAGTCCCGATCGCGCTAAGAGCCCAATTCAAACTGACTACCCTTCAAATACCAGAGCTCATCTTCTTGCAACTTCTTGCTCTCCGGTTCTCTCTCTCTCTCTCTCTCTCTCTTGGGCGACCGGGCCTCACTCGAGGACTACGCCACTCTTAAAGAGATCTGGCAATGCCGTCGCGCTACGAGTAGAGCAGGAATTCCTAGAATCCATGTTTTACCAGGAACCAGCGGCTTATGCTAAGCGACAACCGAATCTGAGCGCCAAATAACTTTAGCGTTCATCGAATTCAAATATTTCTGAGAACTGCGACACGGCCTTCTTGACCTGCACACGTCCTCGTGTATGCGTGGTCATGACCCATTAAGCTTTACAACAAGCAGTATTCCTTTCAATTATTTATTGACATTAGCTTCTAATCTAAATCATTCAATTATTTCATAAACATACAACCAATAACAGCGTTTCTTGTTATATCTCAACAATATTCATTTTCACAATTTCTCTTTATTTCCAATTGGACACCAACTCGTCCTCCTGACTCCCGCCACGTATCCACACAGGATCATGGTGCAGTCGTATACGCATATGCTCCCGCCACGCATTCACCCAGAATCGTGGTGCAGTCTCACACAATTGTTCTTGCCAAGCATCCTCGTAGGATTTACACATACGCTCCCGCCAAGCATCCCCATAGGATCATGGTGCAGTCGTATACACGTACATATGCTCCCGCCACGCATTCACACAGAATCGTGGTGCAGCCGTATACACATATGACATTCGGAGCTAATTATTTTCATCAATCGAATGATCAAATTCTTCATCTATTTCTGCAAGTATTTGCGAATCAGGTAGAGACCGTAAATGTTCGTGTGCATATTTATACTGCCGTTTACTAGTTAACGATTTCAGTTTATATCTGTCTCCCTCCAAAACTTCAATAATTTCAAATGGCCCCTTAAATTTAGGATCTAGCTTCGTTTGATTTCTCTCTTCATTTTTAATCAACACATAGTCACCAACCTGGTGCTTTACAATCTTTGCTTTGTTTTTATCAAATCTCTTTTTATCGTAATTGGCGTTCCGATCAATGTTTTCTTTGGCTTGCGCTCTAATTTTGACCCTATCTATTACCTCCTCTTCTTCTGTAATAGGCAACAAACCGAATGGCCTTCCTTCCCTGCCGATCATTAATTCCAAAGGACTTACTTTGGTGACACGGTTAATCGTACTATTAATAGCTAACTGAACTTCTAATAGCGCATCTTGCCAGGAGCGCTGGCTTGTTTCGACCGCTGTAAACATACTTTTAAGCGTACTCATTACGCGTTCAACTTGTCCGTTAGCTCGGCTGGCGCCGGTGACAATGAAATGAAGGTTAATTTTCTGGGAAGAGCAAAACTCGCGGAATCCGGAACTGGCAAAAGATCTACCCTGATCGGCAATCACACGCATTGGCAAACCAAACAACGAGACAACAGATTTCATTGCTCTCACACAGTTTTCCGTATCTAAACTCAAAGTGTGATACAAATATACGAACTTAGTATAAGCGTCTATAATAACAATGACATACTCTTTTTGGTCATTCTTGCCACTCAATTTCCCTGTAATATCGATATGCAGAGTATGCCAAGGTATATCTATGTTTGGAATCGGATGGAGTTCTGCCTGCACTTTACCTTTAGAGCCTTTATATATTTTGCATGTAATGCAATTTTCTACGAAACGCCTAACATATTTTGACATGTGGGCAAACCAATAGTGCGCATAAACTTTATCTAATGTCTTCTCCCAACCCAAGTGCATTACAGCTTCGTGTGGTTTATTACAGCCCATCTGTAAGCTCTGGGTATTACGGGCAGACAGCGTGTTCTTCCGTTGCGTTGGATTTTCCGATGGAGCATACCTTTTCTCAACTCATAAGTTTTTAGTAAATATTCCTCTAATTCGTCGTTACGTAGCTTTTCGATTATTTCAGAAACTTCTGGATCGCGCTGTTGTTCGGCGAGTAGCCAGTTGTCGGAGACCTCGGTTAAAGTTATGCGCTTCTCGACTACCTTTTCTAATTGGGAGTCTTTTTGGACGGGTAGAGGATTACGAGACAGAAAATCAGCATGAGCCATTCTCTCCCCTTTCCTATATTCAATGCGAAACTGAAAAGCCTGCAAGTACCCCCACCACCGGTGTACCCTCGGCGTCAATGTGGTCTTGGAACGACTTGCCCTTAATGAATCGCAATCCGTAAAAATCACAAATTCGAGACCCTGCAAATAATGCCTGAAATGTTTAACGGCGTTCACAACTGCGAGAGTTTCTAACTCGTAAGAATGGTATTTGGACTCGACTGGAGTTGTGCATTTACTAAAATATTCGAATACATACGGCTTTTTATCTATTCGGTGCATCAAAATGGCACCATAACCAACCATACTTGCATCTGTATGCAACTCGACAGGGTGTTTGGGATCGAAGATGGTCAGTACTGGAGAACTTGTCAAAATTTCTATTATTTTCTGTCTTAGTTGTTCATTTTCGTCTTTCATTGTAAGTTCCTTGCGTTTTTGAGAAGTTAGTAGAAATAATGGTTTTAATAACTCTGAAAATTTTGGCACAAAAAGCCGGAAGTAGGAAGCCAATCCTATGAATTGTCTTAACTGAGGTACCGTCTGAGGAGGTGGTAGTTCCACAAGTGCTTTTATTTTGCGACCATTTGGTCGTATTTCTCCCGCACTAACTTCATACCCTAGGTAATTTATTTTCTGTGTGAGGAATGTACACTTGTTTATGTTAAATGAGAAACCGGCTTCCATTAAAATTTTAAGGACTTCATCTAATCTTTCCATTGCCTGAACTTTCGTTTCTGCAACTATCAAAACGTCGTCAATATAAACAATAACATAGGTATGGGCTTATGGTCCCAAAGCATTAATTATTGCACGTTGAAACACCGATGGAGCGTTCTTTAACCAAAATGGCATGGCGAGAAATTCATACTGCCCCTCGGGCGTTACAAATGCCGTACGTTCGACCGAGTCCGGGTGAACTGGAATTTGATAAAAGCCACTAGCCATATCTAAGCAAGAAAAGAAACTAGCTCCCCTCATACGGGCTATTTGGTCAGCTATAAGTGGTAACGGGTATTTATCTGCCACCGTATTTGTGTTTAGTTTCCTGTAGTCTACGCATAAACGATCTGAACCGTTCTTCTTCTTGACCAGCATCATCGGACTAGCAAAAGGGGAACTACTAGGACGTATAACTTTTGCAGACAATAATTCGTTAATCATTTCCCTAACATTAGCCTTTTCTTCTTCACTAAGTCTATATGGGCGACGCTGAACAGTCTTATGTGGATCAATGGGCCGTATGCTGAGCAGCCCTGTTGTTACTCGTGTGTTTGGAATGCCCACTATAAATGATTTGGAATATTTTTCTAATATTTCACCTAATTTTTCTTTATCAAACTCACTTAAGTCTTTATTAAAATTAAAACGATTTTTCAGATTTAATTCATACGACAGTGCTTGTACCATTTAAGGCTTATAAATAATAAATTTATTTGCTTCAATTACGACTCCGAAGCCTTGACTTAAAATATCTCTTCCAATAAGAATATCAAAATTCATAAAAGTATCCATAATAACGTGAAACAATATTTCAAGAAAATGTTCGTTTATATTAACATTACAAATTATCTGTACTGTGCTCCACACCGGTTCGTTTCCGATGCCCCTTAAAACCACTGTGCTAGTCTGACGCTTAACTTCGCTGCTACACTTTCCTTTACAAGAGAACATTCAGCGCCTGAATCAAAACAAAATGGAATAGACTCACCAAATTGTTTCAAAACTCCCTTTGGTTCTATGGCCACCAAGTTTACTCTTTTGTTAATCTCGACTTCCTTGAGATTATGTCGATTACGTGGGCATTCCGAAGCATAGTGCCCGAACTCCCTACATTTGAAGCAGGTCCTGTTGTTGACTGCGCGTTGTTGTTGTCCTGGAGTTGAGGTGGTCCGGTGTCTCTCGTCCGTTCGCCTTTTTTGACAATCCGCAATCTTATGGCCAAGACGCCCACAGTGATGACACTTCACTAGAGATGGTAGTTTCATTTTCTTCCTTTCGACTTCGTTTCCAAAGGATTCGTTGCGTTTTAAATACGCATACGCCTTTAATTGTTGCTGCAGATCGTTGCGGGTTTTAACAGCGCCCGTAAACATTGACTTTAAAAGGCCAGCATCCAAGTTTGAAAGATGCGTCAAAACGATGGATACGATGAGCTCTTCCAATTCAATTGATTTGAATTTTGACATAAGCGACGTCACCAGGCGGCTTCCGTATTCGGGTAAATTCTCTCCTGGTTTTGGACGCCCATTAAAGATGTTCATCAACGTCGCTGCCGGGGTCTCGATACCAACGAATCGTTGCACAAACAATTCCTGGAATTGCGGCCATGTCATGCCGCTGAAACAAATTTGTGCCAACCACTGGGAAGCACTTCCTTGCATAGCTTTGCTGAGTGCCATGACAAGAGCACTGCCTTGTCGATTGTTTTCAGCAAATATTAATGCAACTGTATTACACCACGCACTTGCATCCGCGCCCGCACTATCAGGGTCGAATTTCGGCAATGATATGGAATTCGGTTTAACTTCCGTTAATGGCACTCGCGGTGCGTTCATTGATTTCACAAGTTCCAACAAGGCACGATTTTGAGCTTCTAATGCAGCTATAACACTTTCATTGTCCTGTGGCAAGGCCGATCCCACTTCTGATAACGGAGAAGGAGTATTTTCATGGTCTGCCATTTCGATTGCGCAGTAAGTCCCGATCGCGCCAAGAGCCCAATTCAAACTGACTACCCTTCAAATACCAGAGCTCATCTTCTTGCAACTTCTTGCTCTCCGGTTCTCTCTCTCTCTCTCTTGGGCGACCGGGCCTCACTCGACGACTACGCCACTCTAAAAGAGATCTGGCAATGCCGTCGCGCTACGAGTAGAGCAGGAATTCCTAGAATCCATGTTTTACCAGGAACCAGCGGCTTATGCTAAGCGACAACCGAATCTGAGCGCCAAATAACTTTAGCGTTCATCGAATTCAAATATTTCTGAGAACTGCGACACGGCCTTCTTGACCTGCACACGTCCTCGTGTATGCGTGGTCATGACCCATTAAGCTTTACAACAAGCAGTATTCCTTTCAATTATTTATTGACATTAGCTTCTAATCTAAATCATTCAATTATTTCATAAATATACAACCAATAACAGCGTTTCTTGTTATATCTCAACAATATTCATTTTCACAATTTCTCTTTATTTCCAATTGGACACCAACTCGTCCTCCTGACTCCCGCCACGTATCCACACAGGATCATGGTGCAGTCGTATACACATATGCTCCCGCCACGCATTCACCCAGAATCGTGGTGCAGTCTCACACAATTGTTCTTGCCAAGCATCCTCGTAGGATTTACACATACGCTCCCGCCAAGCATCCCCATAGGATCATGGTGCAGCCGTATATACGTACATATGCTCCCGCCACGCATTCACACAGAATCGTGGTGCAGCCGTATACACATATGACATTCTGAGCTAATTATTTTCATCAATCGAATGATCAAATTCTTCATCTATTTCTGCAAGTATTTGCGTATCAGGTAGAGACCGTAAATGTTCGTGTGCATATTTATACTGCCGTTTACTAGTTAACGATTTTAGTTTATATCTGTCTCCCTCCAAAACTTCAATAATTTCAAATGGCCCCTTAAATTTAGGATCTAGCTTCGTTTGATTCCTCTCTTCATTTTTAATCAACACATAGTCACCAACCTGGTGCTTTACAATCTTTGCTTTGTTTTTATCAAATCTCTTTTTATCGTAATTGGCTTTCCGATCAATGTTTTCTTTGGCTTGCGCTCTAATTTTGTCCCTATCTATTACCTCCTCTTCTTCTGTAATAGGCAACAAACCGAATGGCCTTCCTTCCCTGCCGATCATTAATTCCAAAGGACTTACTTTGGTGACACGGTTAATCGTACTATTAATAGCTAACTGAACTTCTAATAGCGCATCTTGCCAGGAGCGCTGGCTTGTTTCGACCGCTGTAAACATACTTTTAAGCGTACTCATTACGCGTTCAACTTGTCCGTTAGCTCGGCTGGCGCCGGTGACAATGAAATGAAGGTTAATTTTCTGGGAAGAGCAAAACTCGCGGAATCCGGAACTGGCAAAAGATCTACCCTGATCGGCAATCACACGCATTGGCAAACCAAACAACGAGACAACAGATTTCATTGCTCTCACACAGTTTTCCGTATCTAAACTCAAAGTGTGATACAAATATACGAACTTAGTATAAGCGTCTATAATAACAATGACATACTCTTTTTGGTCATTCTTGCCACTCAATTTCCCTGTAATATCGATATGCAGAGTATGCCAAGGTATATCTATGTTTGGAATCGGATGGAGTTCTGCCTGCACTTTACCTTTAGAGCCTTTATATATTTTGCATGTAATGCAATTTTCTACGAAACGCCTAACATATTTTGACATGTGGGCAAACCAATAGTGCGCATAAACTTTATCTAATGTCTTCTCCCAACCCAAGTGCATTACAGCTTCGTGTGGTTTATTACAGCCCATCTGTAAGCTCTGGGTATTACGGGCAGACAGCGTGTTCTTCCGTTGCGTTGGATTTTCCGATGGAGCATACCTTTTCTCAACTCATAAGTTTTTAGTAAATATTCCTCTAATTCGTCGTTACGTAGCTTTTCGATTATTTCAGAAACTTCTGGATCGCGCTGTTGTTCGGCGAGTAGCCAGTTGTCGGAGACCTCGGTTAAAGTTATGCGCTTCTCGACTACCTTTTCTAATTGTTTTTATCAAATCTCTTTTTATCGTAATTGGCTTTCCGATCAATGTTTTCTTTGGCTTGCGCTCTAATTTTGTCCCTATCTATTACCTCCTCTTCTTCTGTAATAGGCAACAAACCGAATGGCCTTCCTTCCCTGCCGATCATTAATTCCAAAGGACTTACTTTGGTGACACGGTTAATCGTACTATTAATAGCTAACTGAACTTCTAATAGCGCATCTTGCCAGGAGCGCTGGCTTGTTTCGATCGCTGTAAGCATACTTTTAAGCGTACTCATTACGCGTTCAACTTGCCCGTTAGCTCGGCTGGCGCCGGTGGCAATGAAATGAAGGTTAATTTTCTGGGAAGAGCAAAACTCGCGGAATCCGGAACTGGCAAAAGATCTACCCTGATCGGCAATCACACGCATTGGCAAACCAAACAACGAGACAACAGATTTCATTGCTCTCACACAGTTTTCCGTATCTAAACTCAAAGTGTGATACAAATATACGAACTTAGTATAAGTGTCTATAATAACAATGACATACTCTTTTTGGTCATTCTTGCCACTCAATTTCCCTGTAATATCGATATGCAGAGTATGCCAAGGTATATCTATTTTTGGAATCGGATGGAGTTCTGCCTGCACTTTACCTTTAGAGCCTTTATATATTTTGCATGTAATGCAATTTTCTACGAAACGCCTAACATATTTTGACATGTGGGCAAACCAATAGTGCGCATAAACTTTATCTAATGTCTTCTCCCAACCCAAGTGCATTACAGCTTCGTGTACGTGGTTTATTACAGCCCATCTGTAAGCTCTGGGTATTACGGGCAGACAGCGTGTTCTTCAGATGCGTTGGATTTTTCGATGGAGCATACCTTTTCTCAACTCATAAGTTTTTAGTAAATATTCCTCTAATTCGTCGTTACGTAGCTTTTCGATTATTTCAGAAACTTCTGGATCGCGCTGTTGTTCGGCGAGTAGCCAGTTGTCGGAGACCTCGGTTAAATTTATGCGCTTCTCGACTACCTTTTCTAATTGGGAGTCTTTTTGGACGGGTAGAGGACTCCGAGATAGAAAATCAGCATGAGACATTCTCTCCCCTTTCCTATATTCAATGCGAAACTGAAAAGCCTGCAAGTACCCCCACCACCGGTGTACCCTCGGCGTCAATGTGGTCTTGGAACGACTTGCCCTTAATGAATCGCAATCCGTAAAAATCACAAATTCGAGACCCTGCAAATAATGCCTGAAATGTTTAACGGCGTTCACCACTGCGAGAGTTTCTAACTCGTAAGAATGGTATTTGAACTCGACTGGAGTTGTGCATTTACTAAAATATTCGATTACATACGGCTTTTTATCTATTCGGTGCATCAAAATGGCACCATAACCAACCATACTTGCATCTGTATGCAACTCGACAGGGTGTTTGGGATCGAAGATGGTCAGTACTGGAGAACTTGTCAAAATTTCTATTATTTTCTGTCTTAGTTGTTCATTTTCGTCTTTCCATGTAAGTTCCTTGCATTTTTGAGAAGTTAGTAAAAATAATGGTTTTAATAATTTTGAAAATTTTGGCACAAAAAGCCGGAAGTAGGAAGCCAATCCTATGAATTGTCTTAACTGAGGTACCGTCTGAGGAGGTGGTAGTTCCACAAGTGCTTTTATTTTGCGACCATTTGGTCGTATTTCTCCCGCACTAACTTCATACCCTAGGTAATTTATTTTCTGTGTGAGGAATGTACACTTGTTTATGTTAAATGAGAAACCGGCTTCCATTTAAATTTTAAGGACTTCATCTAATCTTTCCATTGCCTGAACTTTCGTTTCTGCAACTATCAAAACGTCGTCAATATAAACAATAACATAGGTATGGGCTTATGGTCCCAAAGCATTAATTATTGCACGTTGAAACACCGATGGAGCGTTCTTTAACCAAAATGGCATGGCGAGAAATTCATACTGCCCCTCGGGCGTTACAAATGCCGTACGTTCGACCGAGTCCGGGTGAACTGGAATTTGATAAAAGCCACTAGCCATATCTAAGCAAGAAAAGAAACTAGCTCCCCTCATACGGGCTATTTGGTCAGCTATAAGTGGTAACGGGTATTTATCTGCCACCGTATTTGTGTTTTGTTTCCTGTAGTCTACGCATAAACGATCTGAACCGTTCTTCTTCTTGACCAGCATCATCGGACTAGCAAAAGGGGAACTACTAGGACGTATAACTTTTGCAGACAATAATTCGTTAATCATTTCCCTAACATTAGCCTTTTCTTCTTCACTAAGTCTATATGGGCGACGCTGAACAGTTTTATGTGGATCAATGGGTCGTATGCTGAGCAGCCCTGTTGTTACTCCTTTGTGTGGAATGCCCACTATAAATGATTTTTCAGATTTAATTCATACGACAGTGCTTGTACCATTTAAGGCTTATAAATAATAAATTTATTTGCTTCAATTACGACTCCGAAGCCTTGACTTAAAATATCTCTTCCAATAAGAATATCAAAATTCATAAAAGTATCCATAATAACGTGAAACAATATTTCAAGAAAATGTTCGTTTATATTAACATTACAAATTATCTGTACTGTGCTCCACACCGGTTCGTTTCCGATGCCCCTTAAAACCACTGTGCTAGTCTGACGCTTAACTTCGCTGCTACACTTTCCTTTACAAGAGAACATTCAGCGCCTGAATCAAAACAAAATGGAATAGACTCACCAAATTGTTTCAAAACTCCCTTTGGTTCTATGGCCACCAAGTTTACTCTTTTGTTAATCTCGACTTCCTTGAGATTATGTCGATTACGTGGGCATTCCGAAGCATAGTGCCCGAACTCCCTACATTTGAAGCAGGTCCTGTTGTTGACTGCGCGTTGTTGTTGTCCTGGAGTTGAGGTGGTCCGGTGTCTCTCGTCCGTTCGCCTTTTTTGACAATCCGCAATATTATGGCCAAGACGCCCACAGTGATGACACTTGCCCTTAATGAATCGCAATCCGTAAAAATCACAAATTCGAGACCCTGCAAATAATGCCTGAAATGTTTAACGGCGTTCACCACTGCGAGAGTTTCTAACTCGTAAGAATGGTATTTGAACTCGACTGGAGTTGTGCATTTACTAAAATATTCGATTACATACGGCTTTTTATCTATTCGGTGCATCAAAATGGCACCATAACCAACCATACTTGCATCTGTATGCAACTCGACAGGGTGTTTGGGATCGAAGATGGTCAGTACTGGAGAACTTGTCAAAATTTCTATTATTTTCTGTCTTAGTTGTTCATTTTCGTCTTTCCATGTAAGTTCCTTGCATTTTTGAGAAGTTAGTAAAAATAATGGTTTTAATAATTTTGAAAATTTTGGCACAAAAAGCCGGAAGTAGGAAGCCAATCCTATGAATTGTCTTAACTGAGGTACCGTCTGAGGAGGTGGTAGTTCCACAAGTGCTTTTATTTTGCGACCATTTGGTCGTATTTCTCCCGCACTAACTTCATACCCTAGGTAATTTATTTTCTGTGTGAGGAATGTACACTTGTTTATGTTAAATGAGAAACCGGCTTCCATTTAAATTTTAAGGACTTCATCTAATCTTTCCATTGCCTGAACTTTCGTTTCTGCAACTATCAAAACGTCGTCAATATAAACAATAACATAGGTATGGGCTTATGGTCCCAAAGCATTAATTATTGCACGTTGAAACACCGATGGAGCGTTCTTTAACCAAAATGGCATGGCGAGAAATTCATACTGCCCCTCGGGCGTTACAAATGCCGTACGTTCGACCGAGTCCGGGTGAACTGGAATTTGATAAAAGCCACTAGCCATATCTAAGCAAGAAAAGAAACTAGCTCCCCTCATACGGGCTATTTGGTCAGCTATAAGTGGTAACGGGTATTTATCTGCCACCGTATTTGTGTTTTGTTTCCTGTAGTCTACGCATAAACGATCTGAACCGTTCTTCTTCTTGACCAGCATCATCGGACTAGCAAAAGGGGAACTACTAGGACGTATAACTTTTGCAGACAATAATTCGTTAATCATTTCCCTAACATTAGCCTTTTCTTCTTCACTAAGTCTATATGGGCGACGCTGAACAGTTTTATGTGGATCAATGGGTCGTATGCTGAGCAGCCCTGTTGTTACTCCTTTGTGTGGAATGCCCACTATAAATGATTTTTCAGATTTAATTCATACGACAGTGCTTGTACCATTTAAGGCTTATAAATAATAAATTTATTTGCTTCAATTACGACTCCGAAGCCTTGACTTAAAATATCTCTTCCAATAAGAATATCAAAATTCATAAAAGTATCCATAATAACGTGAAACAATATTTCAAGAAAATGTTCGTTTATATTAACATTACAAATTATCTGTACTGTGCTCCACACCGGTTCGTTTCCGATGCCCCTTAAAACCACTGTGCTAGTCTGACGCTTAACTTCGCTGCTACACTTTCCTTTACAAGAGAACATTCAGCGCCTGAATCAAAACAAAATGGAATAGACTCACCAAATTGTTTCAAAACTCCCTTTGGTTCTATGGCCACCAAGTTTACTCTTTTGTTAATCTCGACTTCCTTGAGATTATGTCGATTACGTGGGCATTCCGAAGCATAGTGCCCGAACTCCCTACATTTGAAGCAGGTCCTGTTGTTGACTGCGCGTTGTTGTTGTCCTGGAGTTGAGGTGGTCCGGTGTCTCTCGTCCGTTCGCCTTTTTTGACAATCCGCAATATTATGGCCAAGACGCCCACAGTGATGACACTTGCCCTTAATGAATCGCAATCCGTAAAAATCACAAATTCGAGACCCTGCAAATAATGCCTGAAATGTTTAACGGCGTTCACCACTGCGAGAGTTTCTAACTCGTAAGAATGGTATTTGAACTCGACTGGAGTTGTGCATTTACTAAAATATTCGATTACATACGGCTTTTTATCTATTCGGTGCATCAAAATGGCACCATAACCAACCATACTTGCATCTGTATGCAACTCGACAGGGTGTTTGGGATCGAAGATGGTCAGTACTGGAGAACTTGTCAAAATTTCTATTATTTTCTGTCTTAGTTGTTCATTTTCGTCTTTCCATGTAAGTTCCTTGCATTTTTGAGAAGTTAGTAAAAATAATGGTTTTAATAACTCTGAAAATTTTGGCACAAAAAGCCGGAAGTAGGAAGCCAATCCTATGAATTGTCTTAACTGAGGTACCGTCCGAGGAGGTGGTAGTTCCACAAGTGCTTTTATTTTGCGACCATTTGGTCGTATTTCTCCCGCACTAACTTCATACCCTAGGTAATTTATTTTCTGTGTGAGGAATGTACACTTGTTTATGTTAAATGAGAAACCGGCTTCCATTAAAATTTTAAGGACTTCATCTAATCTTTCCATTGCCTGAACTTTCGTTTCTGCAACTATCAAAACCTCGTCAATATAAACAATAACATAGGTATATGCTTATGGTCCCAAAGCATTAATAATTGCACGTTGAAACACCGATGGAGCGTTCTTTAACCAAAATGGCATGGCGAGAAATTCATACTGCCCCTCGGGCGTTACAAATGCCGTACGTTCGACCGAGTCCGGGTGAACTGGAATTTGATAAAAGTCACTAGCCATATCTAAGCAAGAAAAGAAACTAGCTCCCCTCATACGGGCTATTTGGTCAGCTATAAGTGGTAACGGGTATTTATCTGCCACCGTATTTGTGTTTTGTTTCCTGTAGTCTACGCATAAACGATCTGAACCGTTCTTCTTCTTGACCAGCATCATCGGACTAGCAAAAGGGGAACTACTAGGACGTATAACTTTTGCAGACAATAATTCGTTAATCATTTCCCTAACATTAGCCTTTTCTTCTTCACTAAGTCTATATGGGCGACGCTGAACAGTCTTATGTGGATCAATGGGCCGTATGCTGAGCAGCCCTGTTGTTACTCCTTTGTGTGGAATGCCCACTATAAATGATTTGGAATATTTTTCTAATATTTCACCTAATTTTTCTTTATCAAACTCACTTAATTCTTTATTAAAATTAAAACGATTTTTCAGATTTAATTCATTCGACAGTGCTTGTACCATTTAAGGCTTATAAATAATAAATTTATTTGCTTCAATTACGACTCCGAAGCCTTGACTTAAAATATCTCTTCCAATAAGAATATCAAAATTAATAAAAGTATCCATAATAACGTGAAACAATATTTCAAGAAAATGTTCGTTTATATTAATATTACAAATTATCTGTACTGTGCTCCACACCGGTTCGTTTCCGATGCCCCTTAAAACCACTGTGCTAGTCTGACGCTTAACTTCGCTGCTACACTTTCCTTTACAAGAGAACATTCAGCGCCTGAATCAAAACAAAATGGAATAGACTCACCAAATTGTTTCAAAACTCCCTTTGGTTCTATGGCCACCAAGTTTACTCTTTTGTTAATCTCGACTTCCTTGAGATTATGTCGATTACGTGGGCATTCCGAAGCATAGTGCCCGAACTCCCTACATTTGAAGCAGGTCCTGTTGTTGACTGCGCGTTGTTGTTGTCCTGGAGTTGAGGTGGTCCGGTGTCTCTAGTCCGTTCGCCTTTTTTGACAATCCGCAATCTTATGGCCAAGACGCCCACAGTGATGACACTTCACTAGAGATGGTAGTTTCATTTTCTTCCTTTCGACTTCGTTTCCAAAGGATTCGTTGCGTTTTAAATACGCATACGCCTTTAATTGTTGCTGCAGATCGTTGCGGGTTTTAACAGCGCCCGTAAACATTGACTTTAAAAGGCCAGCATCCAAGTTTGAAAGATGCGTCAAAACGATGGATACGATGAGCTCTTCCAATTCAATTGATTTGAATTTTGACATAAGCGACGTCACCAGGCGGCTTCCGTATTCGTGTAAATTCTCTCCTGGTTTTGGACGCCCATTAAAGATGTTCATCAACGTCGCTGCCGGGGTCTCGATACCAACGAATCGTTGCACAAACAATTCCTGGAATTGCGGCCATGTCATGCCGCTGAAACGAATTTGCGCCAACCACAGGGAAGCACTTCCTTGCATAGCTTTGCTGAGTGCCATGACAAGAGCACTGCCTTGTCGATTGTTTTCAGCAAATATTAATGCAACTGTATTACACCACGCACTTGCATCCGCGCCCGCACTATCAGGGTCGAATTTCGGCAATGATATGGAATTCGGTTTAACTTCCGTTAATGGCACTCGCGGTGCGTTCATTGATTTCACAAGTTCCAACAAGGCACGATTTTGAGCTTCTAATGCAGCTATAACACTTTCATTGTCCTGTGGCAAGGCCGATCCCACTTCTGATAACGGAGAAGGAGTATTTTCATGGTCTGCCATTTCGATTGCGCAGTAAGTCCCGATCGCGCCAAGAGCCCAATTCAAACTGACTACCCTTCAAATACCAGAGCTCATCTTCTTGCAACTTCTTGCTCTCCGGTTCTCTCTCTCTCTCTCTTGGGCGACCGGGCCTCACTCGACGACTACGCCACTCTAAAAGAGATCTGGCAATGCCGTCGCGCTACGAGTAGAGCAGGAATTCCTAGAATCCATGTTTTACCAGGAACCAGCGGCTTATGCTAAGCGACAACCGAATCTGAGCGCCAAATAACTTTAGCGTTCATCGAATTCAAATATTTCTGAGAACTGCGACACGGCCTTCTTGACCTGCACACGTCCTCGTGTATGCGTGGTCATGACCCATTAAGCTTTACAACAAGCAGTATTCCTTTCAATTATTTATTGACATTAGCTTCTAATCTAAATCATTCAATTATTTCATAAATATACAACCAATAACAGCGTTTCTTGTTATATCTCAACAATATTCATTTTCACAATTTCTCTTTATTTCCAATTGGACACCAACTCGTCCTCCTGACTCCCGCCACGTATCCACACAGGATCATGGTGCAGTCGTATACACATATGCTCCCGCCACGCATTCACCCAGAATCGTGGTGCAGTCTCACACAATTGTTCTTGCCAAGCATCCTCGTAGGATTTACACATACGCTCCCGCCAAGCATCCCCATAGGATCATGGTGCAGCCGTATACACGTACATATGCTCCCGCCACACATTCACACAGAATCGTGGTGCAGCCGTATACACATATGACATTCGGAGCTAATTATTTTCATCAATCGAATGATCAAATTCTTCATCTATTTCTGCAAGTATTTGCGTATCAGGTAGAGACCGTAAATGTTCGTGTGCATATTTATACTGCCGTTTACTAGTTATCGATTTTAGTTTATATCTGTCTCCCTCCAAAACTTCAATAATTTCAAATGGCCCCTTAAATTTAGGATCTAGCTTCGTTTGATTTCTCTCTTCATTTTTAATCAACACATAGTCACCAACCTGGTGCTTTACAATCTTTGCTTTGTTTTTATCAAATCTCTTTTTATCGTAATTGGCGTTCCGATATTCCTCTTATTCGTCGTTACGTAGCTTTTCGATTATTTCAGAAACTTCTGGATCGCGCTGTTGTTCGGCGAGTAGCCAGTTGTCGGAGACCTCGGTTAAATTTATGCGCTTCTCGACTACCTTTTCTAATTGGGAGTCTTTTTGGACGGGTAGAGGATTCCGAGATAGAAAATCAGCATGAGCCATTCTCTCCCCTTTCCTATATTCAATGCGAAACTGAAAAGCCTGCAAGTACCCCCACCACCGGTGTACCCTCGGCGTCAATGTGGTCTTGGAACGACTTGCCCTTAATGAATCGCAATCCGTAAAAATCACAAATTCGAGACCCTGCAAATAATGCCTGAAATGTTTAACGGCGTTCACCACTGCGAGAGTTTCTAACTCGTAAGAATGGTATTTGGACTCGACTGGAGTTGTGCATTTACTAAAATATTCGATTACATACGGCTTTTTATCTATTCGGTGCATCAAAATGGCACCATAACCAACCATACTTGCATCTGTATGCAACTCGACAGGGTGTTTGGGATCGAAGATGGTCAGTACTGGAGAACTTGTCAAAATTTCTATTATTTTCTGTCTTAGTTGTTCATTTTCGTCTTTCCATGTAAGTTCCTTGCATTTTTGAGAAGTTAGTAAAAATAATGGTTTTAATAATTTTGAAAATTTTGGCACAAAAAGCCGGAAGTAGGAAGCCTATCCTATGAATTGTCTTAACTGAGGTACCGTCTGAGGAGGGTGTAGTTCCACAAGTGCTTTTATTTTGCGACCATTTGGTCGTATTTCTCCCGCACTAACTTCATACCCTAGGTAATTTATTTTCTGTGTGAGGAATGTACACTTGTTTATGTTAAATGAGAAACCGGCTTCCATTAAAATTTTAAGGACTTCATCTAATCTTTCCATTGCCTGAACTTTCGTTTCTGCAACTATCAAAACGTCGTCAATATAAACAATAACATAGGTATATGCTTATGGTCCCAAAGCATTAATAATTGCACGTTGAAACACCGATGGAGCGTTCTTTAACCAAAATGGCATGGCGAGAAATTCATACTGCCCCTCGGGCGTTACAAATGCCGTACGTTCGACCGAGTCCGGGTGAACTGGAATTTGATAAAAGCCACTAGCCATATCTAAGCAAGAAAAGAAACTAGCTCCCCTCATACGGGCTATTTGGTCAGCTATAAGTGGTAACGGGTATTTATCTGCCACCGTATTTGTGTTTTGTTTCCTGTAGTCTACGCATAAACGATCTGAACCGTTCTTCTTCTTGACCAGCATCATCGGACTAGCAAAAGGGGAACTACTAGGACGTATAACTTTTGCAGACAATAATTCGTTAATCATTTCCCTAACATTAGCCTTTTCTTCTTCACTAAGTCTATATGGGCGACGCTGAACAGTCTTATGTGGATCAATGGGCCGTATGCTGAGCAGCCCTGTTGTTACTCCTTTGTGTGGAATGCCCACTATAAATGATTTGGAATATTTTTCTAATATTTCACCTAATTTTTCTTTATCAAACTCACTTAAGTCTTTATTAAAATTAAAACGATTTTTCAGATTTAATTCATACGACAGTGCTTGTACCATTTAAGGCTTATAAATAACAAATTTATTTGCTTCAATTACGACTCCGAAGCCTTGACTTAAAATATCTCTTCCAATAAGAATATCAAAATTCATAAAAGTATTCATAATAACGTGAAACAATATTTCAAGAAAATGTTCGTTTATATTAACATTACAAATTATCTGTACTGTGCTCCACACCGGTTCGTTTCCGATGCCCCTTAAAACCACTGTGCCAGACTGACGCTTTCCTTGTAACTTCGCTGCTACACTTTCCTTTACAAGAGAACATTCAGCGCCTGAATCAAAACAAAATGGAATAGACTCACCAAATTGTTTCAAAACTCCCTTTGGTACTATGGCCACCAAGTTTACTCTTTTGTTAATCTCGACTTCCTTAAGATTATGTCGATTACGTGGGCATTCCGAAGCATAGTGCCCGAACTCCCCATATTTGAAGCAGGTCCTGTTGTTGACTGCGCGTTGTTGTTGTCCTGGAGTTGAGGTGGTCCGGTGTCTCTCGTCCGTTCGCCTTTTTTGACAATCCGCAATCTTATGGCCAAGACGCCCACAGTGATGACACTTCACTAGAGATGGTAGTTTCATTTTCTTCCTTTCGACTTCGTTTCCAAAGGATTCGTTGCGTTTTAAATACGCATACGCCTTTAATTGTTGCTGCAGATCGTTGCGGGTTTTAACAGCGCCCGTAAACATTGACTTTAAAAGGCCAGCATCCAAGTTTGAAAGATGCGTCAAAACGATGGATACGATGAGCTCTTCCAATTCAATTGATTTGAATTTTGACATAAGCGACGTCACCAGGCGGCTTCCGTATTCGTGCAAATTCTCTCCTGGATTTGGGCGCCCATTAAAGATGTTCATCAATGTCGCTGCCGGGGTCTCGATACCAACGAATCGTTGCACAAACAATTCCTGGAATTGCGGCCATGTCATGCCGCTGAAACAAATTTGCGCCATTCACTGGGAAGCACTTCCTTGCATAGTTTTGCCGAGTGCCATGACAAGAGCACTGCCTTGTCGATTGTTTTCAGCAAATATTAATGCAACTGTATTACACCACGCACTTGCATCCGCGCCCGCACTATCAGGGTCGAATTTCGGCAATGATATGGAATTCGGTTTAACTTCCGTTAATGGCACTCGCGGTGCGTTCATTGATTTCACAAGTTCCAACAAGGCACGATTTTGAGCTTCTAATGCAGCTATAACTCTTTCATTGTCCTGTGGCAAGGCCGATCCCACTTCTGACAACGGAGAAGGAGTATTTTCATGGTCTGCCATTTCGATTGCGCAGTAAGTCCCGATCGCGCCAAGAGCCCAATTCAAACTGACTACCCTTCAAATACCAGAACTCATCTTCTTGCAACTTCTTGCTCTCCGGTTCTCTATCTCTCTCTCTCTTGGGCGACCGGGCCTCACTTGACGACTACGCCACTCTAAAAGAGATCTGGCAATGCCGTCGCGCTACGAGTAGAGCAGGAATTCCTAGAATCCATGTTTTACCAGGAACCAGCGGCTTATGCTAAGCGACAACCAAATCTGAGCGCCAAATAACTTTAGCGTTCATCGAATTCAAATATTTCTGAGAACTGCGACATATTTATAAAACTAAATCAAATATACAACCAATGGATAAAAGCAATTTAGTTTACAATACAAAGAATGTAATTAAATATATAAAGGAACGAGTAAATATAAATTTAAGACAAGGATACAAATCTGAACCAACGGTTCTTCTGCAAAAGGAAGAACAGTACATAAAGCGCTTGACATTAGAAATGTCTTATGTTCATAACACAGTGCAACACATTGGAAGCCTTATTTGATATTTTTCTACCGCTAAAACTCGTAAGCCAAGAGAAATGTTGTTTGTTTCTTCGGCAAACTCAAAGCTATCGAATGGAAAAACCAAGTTTAAGACAAATTTACTGGAAACATTTTCATCTTACTTTAAAATCTTAATATCTACAAAATTGCTAACATTTTTCAACAATTTATTGTCCATAAATTCACCACAAAAAAAAAATTTACGCCTGAAAACAGAAAATATTTTTATCTCTTTATCATGAAGATGGAACATTCACGAATCTACCAAATTATTAACCTCAACATTCTGCCGGTAAATCTATTTATACGGATTTTCCAAGCTTGCAAATACGGTGAATTTTTGGCTGTTAGCGGCTCTAAAGCCGCTAATTGCAGATGTTTACGAAGACTACGGGGACTAACAGTCGAAAAATACCCTTTTTTAGCTGAGATAGTAAAATCTACATTAAATCGGTTTACCGGCGCATTGTTGAAGTTAATATCTTGTTAGATTCGTGAATGTTCCATCTCAAAGATAAAGTGATAAAATTATTTTCGGGTTTCAGGCGTGTATTTGTAAATTTTTGTTGTCGTAACGTCAGTTTAAGCAATTTGTTCAAACTTCGTCGAGTTCTAGCATCTTTGTACGGAAACCTATATTGGAAAAATGAAAAGTGAAATAAGCTATTGATGACCGATGGGTTCGGCAGAACTGGAGATAGAAATAAAATTGGCAGAAAAACGTTTTTTATACCAATAAAAAAAATGGTTCCATACAATGATTGTTGAGTGACATTTTTCAGGATGTCCATCTGGGAAATAAAGGTTTGATCTCTGGAGGAGTTCATCGATTTAGTTTTGTAAGCCAATGTAATTTAGTTGTATAAAGATCGTTAAATTCTTTCGACCATCGCTTTATAAACCCCAATATACAAATTCCTTGTTTTTACATGGCAGTAGAAATTTAATTTTGGGTTAAGAAGAACTGCAAAGTCGTTGACTCAATATATGCGGTCTAGTGGCATACTAGCGGCATACTATTATAACGTTACATTAAAGGCAATTCAGATTTTTCGGAAACCCGGCTGATCTTATTAAAATAAAAGAAGAGAATGATTAAAAGATTCAAAAGCCTTACTAAAATCTGTATATAAAACTTCAGTCTTCATTTTGAATATTAAATCCCTTAACAACTGTTTGTAGGTTTATTGAGTTTTTATTATTTATAAATGTGGTTGCCCCTAGAACATAATCTAGTGACAGTAGGACGCTAAACCAACACTTGAATTGGTTAAACTCGGAGAAAATCATGCATATGAGGGCCAAAGACACAGCGATGCTCACTCGTAGAATGCAGAGTAATTGAATATACAAGGATTACTTGAGTACTGATTTTATTAGGGTTGAGGTCGGGTTTATATACACGATTTCAGAGTCAAGGAGGCCACCATTGCACAGAAGTGGAATGGGGTTGTTAGTTAAAAATACATTGCATTGCTTAGGTTCTAAGATATACAAAGTCAACATACTTGTCTCCCACACAGGGAATTTATAGGCTAGAGTTAGTAAAAATAGATTCCGGGTTTTGAAGGTAAAGCAGGCAGAGCATTGGCTTCGCTGGCAGGTCGAGGTCCTTTGACGATGACGAGGTTGGTTGAGGCGACTTGTTTTGGAAACGTTTCCATACATAAAATATTATAAACCCAAGTGATAAAATTAGGGCGATATAGACACTTATGTGGTGATGTTGTAGTTCGACGATCTCGATTGGCATTTTTATTTTTATTCTTGGAATCAGTTCCTTGTTGAGCTCATTTAATTCATTATAACTTAGCTTTAATGAATTATTTGCTTGCGAAACTTTATAAAGCGGTGTTAAAGATTCATTTAGACTACCAAATCGAACATACGATAATTTCAATGTTCCAGTAGACGTTACCTGATGGCCAATAACACTCAGAACAGGATTTCTTAAAGTGCACTTCGGATCCAAGGATAAAAGTCCAATATTATCAGTTGTAATGGTTGATAATTGATCATCACATACTGCTGATAACTCCATCGGTGATTTAATTGAAAATGTCCATTGATTTTTTGTTTTCAATTTTTGCCATGAGAATGATCTCGTTGAACCCTGTGTTTGGCACAATGACTAGGATCTGTTGTTAAACAATTGAAACTCACAATGATTGTCAATGGAGAACATGGATTGCTTATCTGAGCAAATATACTCTTCGCCATTAAGTATGTTACAAAGTTCAAATTCACTTGACTACATAGTAATGAACTGATCTCGAGGTTGATTCACAGCCATAATTGGATATTCAATATCAAGGG